CATCGTCTGGACCTCTTTTCGGGGAAGAATTCCATTTCTAGAAGTTCCCTCTCGTATGTCACCTTACTCACTTAGGGCCTTTGGACGACTAAGTCAGCTCGGCTTCTCTTTCTGAATCAGATTCACTTCCGACGTGGAGCACACTTGACCCTGCGTCACTTGATGTATCATCGAGGAAGAAAAACCTCTTCTGATTCTGCGTTGCTTGCTGCATCGAGAATAGCTTTTCCTTCTGAACCTTCGTCATTCTTTGAAGAGGGAATTGCTGATGATTCCGGCCGGCTCTGTAGTTTCGAGGCTGGCTTAGATCTTTCTGCCGTTTTGGGGAACATCTTGGCCTTCACTTCTGCTTTGGTTGGCTCCCTTTGAGGGGTCGCAGGGGCAGAAGGCTGACCGACGAACCAGGGTCCAACAGGATGCGATTGACCTTGTGATTGTCAATCTCCCCAATCACTTGGGACGATTGTGTTCAGTTGTTTTCAACATGAGGTCATCATTAGTGAAGGTGACAGTAGCTGAATACTAGGAATACAAGGCCTCCTTCTTGTTCACCTCAGCGAAGTGGCTTTGATATTTGTCAAGATCTAGCAGCGCCTGGACAAACATAGTCCTGATATCGAATGACAGCATCAAGGCATCATACACGCCAAGGAGGGCAGGAATCTTCTTTAGGTTTTAGAGGTTAGAACAGCAACATGTACTCTTTTGAGATAACATTTGGTCTTAGGATTAGTACTGACCAAGTGATCAGAGGGTTCAAGGGTGCAATGTGCTAGACCTAAGACTTCAACAGGAGTGATTGAGTTTCCTAATCTTTTGGGAAAACTTTCACTACCAATCCCTCTTTTGGAAAGAAAGTTCCTCTCTCCATTACACCCATAGTGGAGTATGCCCATTCTTACCTTTTAAGTGACAAAGGAGATGAAGATACTCCATTTTAGTGGACCGTCTTACTAATAAAAGGGCTTTTCTTATGAAAGAAAAAGAAATCCCCTTGAGGGTGAACTTGTTTCACGGGACCATCTAAAGAGACTCCTAGTGTTAAAACAACTATGTAACTTAATGAAGGACTATGCCAAAAAATCCTTAGGCCCTTTTAAGCCCTTTTGGCAGACTATGACCAATTCCAGATCATAAGGGAAAATCATCTCTATGTGAAAAAGGTTATTTGCATAAGGTCTAGTTCATTGGGCACTGGATTGGCGACAACATGAGTTGGTAGGATCAATAGAAGGTGCGTGCAAGCTGTGGTAGACTGGGAGATGCCACACAAGGTGTAGGAACTAGGATTCTTCCTCAGATTAGTCATACTTCAAAATTTGTATTTATATAGTTGTATATATAATATGTTAGGCGGTTCATCAAGGGCTTCTCAGGTGATTGGAAAGACTTAAGCTGCATTTTCCTTACCTTCTATTATTATATTAGTCAAGGGCGAATGAAGGGTGTGCGCAATAGTTTTCTTTCTTTCTCTCGCTCGATCGCTTCAATGCTTATAATTTGAGAGATAACAGGAAAACCTTCTCTCAAATTCGAAGATGTGAAACAAATAATGACTCTCTTTGCCGGGATGTCAACAGGTTCAGTAGCTCTAAGATTTTTTATATTCGGCGGAAGACAGGCTGAAACTCTGCCCCAACCAAGTGAAACTAAGGGTCTGAAAGAGTTCACGATCTGATCTATGGGGTGTTAACCCTCGTAGGATGGCTAAGAATGTCTATTAAAAGGAGCGGACCGATGGGGTCATTTTTCAATCAAGAATAGAATGATCTAAAGGGGTTGTGCAACCTAGAGAGAAGGTCGTATCTCTTTGATGAATATGGTATCGAGGTTTGGTTCATTTGGAAAAGAGGCTCATCAACATGCTTAGGGGAGACCATGTGAATGGTTTGAATTGATGACTTCGCTTCGATCTCTTCGACTAAACCTGAATGAGACTTCGATCATTTAACTTTAGCTTTTGAAGGAATCATGTCACTTGGAAATTCCGAAAAGTGAATCTTCTCTTTTAGATCCTGACCTTGGTAAAACTTGTCTTTGATTAGGATTTCAATTGAAAAAATGTTAGGTCGGTTCCTCATGTGCCTAAGAAGCCGGGGCAATCTCGATTGATGCCAATTCTTTCTTACTCAATATTGATTATAGAAATAACACTCGATCAAAGGGGAGCATAACCAAGTTCAGTGGTTGAAACCTCTGAAATCGATCGATGGGAATCTCGAAGCAATTTGAGGAGCAAACTCATATTAGGCACTGCCATAGCATCAACTGGTACAAAGAAGAGGCACGATAACGAAGATCAATCCATCTCAATCTACAAAAAGTATTGCCTTGGGCGCAACCCAAAAAGATAGAAAGACTACTTGCTCGAAGAAAACTCTTTTAAAGCCTGGTACAAGCCAAGCCTCTCCAATTCGGCAACAAGAGTCGGTTATGGAATAGTCTTTTGGTCGACTTTCTTGTTCTTGAGGACTTTCTGGTCAGTAGGCTTTATAGCGGACCTGCCTTACTGATAGGTAGGATATGAAATAGAGAGTTGCACTTGCCTTCACTTAGAAACTCTATGCCCCTATTAGAGTAAGACATGGTCTCGAAACTAGATTCACTTATTCTTGTCTCTGACGATTAACCTATTCCAGAGTAGTCTGGTGATTAGCCTATCCCGCACTACAATGAATACCTCAACATATACAATTGTTTTAGCATACGAAATCAAGAACAACCCGAACTCCAACAAATAGTAAGTCGAACTTGAATTACCATTGCACAATCTCTAACTCAAATTGGTAGTCCGTCTACAAACAATTTTGTACTCTAGCAACTACTTCTATCACCTTCAAACCTCCTCCTCCCAAACACAAAAGTTTGTTCTTCAAATGTATAACAAAACAAAAATTGATTAAGAATTTAATTTTGAATTATTAAGGAAATCTTCTAATATGTCGTCATAAATCAAACATTCATATATTCAATTACCAGTTTCCATATGTATATCATTGAACTAATGTATGTGACTTTCTATAACTAACCAAAACTAACACCGGATATTTTTTAGATTAAAATATAAAAAAAAAGTGGACTTCAATATTTACTAATAAGATTAAAAACGGACATATCCCCAAATAAGTTTCTTTGACGAACTCAAGTCATTATAAGTCCATCTAGGAGGATTCAGTCCCAATTTTCCCTAATAATAAAGTAATAGGAGTTTGAGAGTTTGGCTTGGACGACTATATATATTTAATGATAACAAAATATATGTAATACCCATTAAAACTCTAATAATAAGGATTCTCTTACAAACAATTTAACACATTCTCTCCTATAGCTCATATAACTTTCTTTATCTCTCTCTCTCTCTATCTCATACTCTCTCTTTCTGTATATACCTACCAACNCCGGGATGTCAACAGGTTCAGTAGCTCTAAGATTTTTTATATTCGGCGGAAGACAGGCTGAAACTCTGCCCCAACCAAGTGAAACTAAGGGTCTGAAAGAGTTCNCAATAAGGATTCTCTTACAAACAATTTAACACACTCTCCTATATCTCATATAACTTTCTTTCTCTCTCTCTCTCTTTATCTCATACTCTCTCTTTCTCTATATACCTACCAACACACACATGCCAACACAAACATTAATACCGACTCCTACCCAAAAAAAAGAAGATATTTTTTTACGTAAAATGATTAAATATATAAATTGTGTACATGTTGATATTTTTTATCGGTCGTATTTTGGGAGAAGTTTTGTCAACATTTTTTAGAAAATAGTGTTTTCAAATTGATTTTAAATTGTGTAACTAAAAAAAATAATAAAAAATAAAGTACTGTTTGAAAATATTTATTGCATGACCGATGTTTGAGATTTTTTGAGTTACTTCACGTTTTTAGACACGGATTATTCCTAACATATAAATAATAACATTAAAAATAAAAAATAGTAACATTCAAATACAAAAAAAAAGGTATCATTTAAACACAAAAAATAGTAACATTTAAACACAAAAAATAGTATCATTCAAAAATAAAAAATAGTAATATTGTATATTAATATTTTAAAAAATAATAGTAGTAACATACTCAATAAAAAATAGTAACATTGAATATTGATATTTCAGAAAAATAGTAATATTTAATATTAACATTAAAAATAAAAAATAGTAACATTCAAACACAAAAAAAAATAGTACAATTTAAACACAAAAAATAGTATCATTTAAATACAAAAACATAGTAACATTCAAAAATAAAAAATAGTAACATTGTATATTAATATTTGAAAAAAAACAATAGTAACATGCTCAACCAAAAATAGTAACATTCAATATTAATCGTAACATGCTTATCAAAAAAAAATAGTAACATGTTCAATAAAAAATAATAACATGAAAAAAGGTTATAACATGCACAAGTACAACAAAACAAAAATAGTAACATGAAAAAAAATTTGTACTGGGACAACGTTGTCTTCTTCACAAAAATACACAACTAACTAAATCGAGACATAAATCAAAACATCATCGATCAACCAACTAAATACACAACCAACCAACTAGAAACAGTAGTATCGAATGATCGATCTATTATAAGAAGTGAAAATTGGGATGAAGGTGAGAAGCGACGAGAGTTTTTAAGAGGTCGAGTGGGAGGGGAGTTACGACTATTACTACTACTATAGGTGGAAGAGGAATTAATGCTTTGGTTAAGGTTTCGTTCGAGGGAGTAACTGTTGTTGACGGTGGTGGGGAAACTAGGTGCATTGATGGAGACGGAGATGTATGGACGAAAAGTGCGGTTGGAGCTTCGGCGGCAACATTTTCATTCATGGTGGGGAAAAAAAACTCAAAATTGTTGGGGAACAACTAGAATAATGTGGATCATGAATTTCAAATTTTAAATTTTATGGTCAAATCTTATGAGCGTGAATTAAGGGTAAAATTAAGGGATTAAGAATATGAGTATTTCTCAATTTTGAAACAGAATTAAAGTCTAATACTATTGAAACATTATAAGAAGGTCATTTTGGAGTTTTAAAAAAAATAGTTGACTTAACTACTTATTATTCAGATAAAAAATGGACTTATCATCAAATAAGTTTTCTTGACGGACTCAAGTCATTATAAGTCCCTTAAAAAGAATTCAGACTCAATTTTTATTATAAATAAATATAGGTAGCTCATTACCTAAAGCCCGTACAAAGGTATTCAGTTAAGGAGGAGAAAAGATCGGCGAAGCTCAACCCGAGTCCACTTTCAGCTGAAGCCTTGCAAGTCTATCTACGAGGAGAAGAGCACACCGCCAAGGTTATTCTTCAAGATATCCAAATCATCTTCAAGTTATTCAAAACAAAGAACGATAAGAAGATTC